GAAAAACAATCGCGACTGGAGGGCGCCCTCCAATCGCGAATGTGTTTACAGGGAAAATACGGATGGAGGGCGCCCTCGGAGGACGCCCATTCCAAATACGCCCTCCAAATACGGTTGGAGGGCTCCCTCGGGCGCCCTCCAACCACATTTGTAGGCTGTAGCTCTCTAAGCGTAACGGTGGTCGCCTATGTAAGCCGCTGTCCCGTAAATAAGCGCCCTCTCACCCGAAGGCGCCCTCCTGTAGGTCGCCACCCTGCTACATATTGCCGCCCTTCTGCTGATCGGCGTCCTCATAATTATTGGCGCTCTCCTACCTATTGCGCCCTCATGTGAAATTTTCAAGGCCGCCTTTCTCCTTTTTGGCACCCTATTGTTCAGTGCCGCCCTCCTACCTATTGCTTCCCTAGTCCTTCCTGTTGAATGTTAATCGGGGCCCTTCTCTTATTGGCGCCCTCGTGTTGATCGCCGCCCTCCTAACCACTGGCACCCTCCTGTTGATCACCGCCCTCCTATCCACTGGTACCTTCCTGTTGACCAGCGCCCTCCGCACAGACGCCCTCCTGTTCGTGTCATCCTCTTGAGCAAAGGCGCCCTCCTCACCATTGCCACCCCCATTTTAATCGTCACCCTTCCGCTCATTAACGACTTCCAGTTGATGACCGCCCTCCCACCTATTGGCGACCTCTTGTTGATCGCCACCCTCCTATTGGTGCTCTCCTGTTCCTCGCCACCCTCTTACCTGGTGGCGCCCTCCTGTTGATTGTTGATCGGGGCCCTCCTACCTATTGGTGCCCTCCTGTTGATCGCTGCCCTTCTATCCATTGGCGCCCTCCTGCTGCTCGCCAACTTCCTACCTATCGGTGCCCTACTATCGAAACTCGGGATGTTGATCGGGGCTCTCCTACCTATTAGCGCCCTCCTGTGGATCGCAGCCCTTCTACCTATTGGCAACATCCGTTGATCGCTGCCCTCTTATCATTTATTTACTCCTTTGGCATGTTTTTCAACTTAGTCGTTCTATTGCACATAGTTGATGTCTTGCCTGTGAAAACTGCCACAAATGAACGTGCATTCAGCACAATGAATGAAGTACCTATACCTACCAGTATAGCGCCTTTTGGGGCGACTAACGGAGCGAGCGAGAGGGTGAGCCTTGCACGTGCGAAATTTCGAGGGGGTACCTCCAGCTGACTTGTGCACGGCACCCTACTAACCGGTCTCTAGCGATGTGCCAAATTTGAGCACAATCGGCCCAGCCGTTCTCGAGATCTGGAAGCGGCACCCTGCACGTGCGCACGTGCAAAATGGGTCCCAACTGACTTTTGCACGGCACCCTACTAACCGGTCCCTAACCATGTACCAAATTTGAGCGCCATCGGTCCAGCCGTTCTCGCGATCTGGAAACGACCCCTGCACGTGCGCACGTGCAGCAGCACCCCAACTCTGGCACATGGATATGCAGTGCCTAGTGGATGCCTACCTACATGCCAACTTTCAGCGCAATCGGCCAAGTAGTTACCGAGATATTGCAACAATTACAAAAGTGACACCTCTTCGTTTTGCACGTGGCACGTGCATAAGGGGTCACCCACATGCATTGGGAATAGTCCAATACTTGGTAGAAGGAATGAAGCTACCCCACAAAAATTACCGCATGTAAATCGGTCAAGTGGTTGCTGAGATATAAGCCTCGCAAAAGCGTGACCACGGCCGGCCGGCCGGCCGGCCGGCCGGCCGCTCATACTCAGAAATTTCCGTTAACGTTGGCGTCGCCGGTGCCTGCGTGGTGTGATGAGCCTGAACTGAGGGGCCGGACCTACCCGTCTCTTACCTCGGTATCCGGGAGGATTTGGCGTAGTGCGGCCTCGACCTCCGCCAGCTCCTATTGCGTGTGTTCCAGCTCTCCCTAGCTGAAAGACGCCGGAGTTGACGGAAGGAGACAAAGGAAAAATAAGAAAGAAAAAAAAAACGAAAAACAAGAGCGGCCGCCGTCTGACGTGCCACTCACGCACTGGAGGCGCCCGGCGGCCGGCGCAGTGTCCTCGCCAGGCCGGGCGGGCCGTATTTGCTTACCCGACCGCTGGCGCTTATCTAGCCTCCTATTGGCGCCCGCACCCTCTGTGGCCGGCTCCCTCATATGCCGGGCACCTCCAGGAAGCGGGGGGCCGGTTGCACCTCTAACGCCAAGCGTTAATGTATTTTGCACGGAACTGACGTGAAAAGACCATTAACGTTGGCGTCGCCGGTGCCTGCGTGGTGTGATGAGCCTGAACTGAGGGGCCGGACCTACCCGTCTCTTACCTCGGTATCCGGGAGGATTTGGCGTAGTGCGGCCTCGACCTCCGCCAGCTCCTATTGCGTGTGTTCCAGCTCTCCCTAGCTGAAAGACGCCAAAATTTGCCCAAATGTATGGGCACGATGCCGGCAAGGGGCGGCATGAGGTATGCCAGGCGGGCGCGGGGGGATCATAAGTACCCCGGGACTTTTGGGGTGGAATAAACGAGCTCGGTGACGGCCGCTGTGAGGTCACGGGATAGCATTAGCAAACGTTTAATGCGTCACCAACCGGCCACGCTGAGTAGAAAGTGAGTGGAAACGGGGCGTAGCAGGGGCGCAGCGCTGGATTTCGCGCCCGGTATCGCTGTACAAACTTCCATAGCTCTCTGGGACTGAGCCTGGTCACTGGGATCCCAGAGACACACGGCGCACATGCCGCCCGGGCAAACCACTGAGCCGCGAGGGCTGCCAAGAGCGGGTGGGAGGCCGGCGGATAACGGCGTCGCCCATACAAGTGCGGGCAGGGAGGAGAGTGGGCGCCTAGCAAACAAGCGCGCGGTTGGCGATCGCCGGCGGTGGCTGGCCGCAGTCCGAGCCCGAGGGACGGCGCGGCCTCCGACAGCGGGTTAGGCGGCGGCGGGAACGACATGACGAACGGGCGGGGCGGTCAGTGACAGCGCAGGGCATGGTGTCAGTACATACGTGACGGTCGTACGGTAATTGCGAAACGTTACGGTGCGGCTGTTAGCCGCGGCGTGCGTATACCGCTGCGCTGGGCTCAGGGCTGAGGGCTGTCGGCAGGACATGACAGTAGTATAGGCAACGGGTAAGACGCCCGTGTCGGGCACGGCACGGGTTGTCCGGAGAGGCATGACAGCAGCGGTGGGACATTGTTGAGGCGTGTTCGACAATCGACAGCGTAAGTGGAGTTGTTGGACTGACGTGAGATGGGAGGGACGCCTAGTCAGTTTGGCACAGTTATGGGCAGGGATGCGGAGCCGTGGAAATTTCAGACGGCTCCGGCTCCGGCTCCGGCTCCGGAGAAAAAAATCGGCTCCGGCTCCGGCTCCGGCTCCGGGTGAAATGTTATGGCGGCTCCGGCTCCGGCTCCGGCTCCGAGTAAAATGGTCCGGCTCCGGCGGCTCCGGCTCCGGCGGCTCCGGCTCCGACTCAGTACATCCCCTACGCAATCAATTAAATACGGGTGGAAGAAAAATTGGATTGGTTATACGCGTTACTCTTTGCCATGACCGGCTCACCGCGTCCCCGCGCAAACGCACCTCGGAGAGAACTGGCAGAACCAAGGCCCTATATACCAGAACAAAGGGCTAGGAAGCGATGGCATTGGAAACGCAGTCGCCGCGAATCGGAGTTCAGTGAACCATCGTAAGCTGACACCCGTCTCGGCTGCATTGGGGGGTGAGGGGTGGGGGGTGTGTGGGATGAGACGGTGCTGGGAGTCGCAGTCCACTGCACTGGTTTGAAAACAATGGCCGTCACCTGATGACTGGTCCTCATGTTCTGGGGATGCAGTAGACGTGGGGGGGGGGGAGAGCAAACAGGAAGTTGTTTGCGTACTGTGGGATACTGGGGATATTCGGATTTTTTCATTCACTTGATGGCCCATGACGTAAGTACCATATGTTTTACTGCCTTGTACTGTCAAACCGAACTAGGTCAATTATTTTTTTTCCTCTTCAAAAAATAAAAAGGAGCCGGAGTCGCCCCCTTTTTTGGCGGCTCCGGCTCCGGCTCCGGCTCCGGGCTATATTGTTTCACGGCTCCGGCTCCGGCTCCGGCTCCGGGCAAAATATGCCGGCTCCGGCGGCTCCGGCTCCGACTCCGGCTCCGGCTCCGCATCCCTGGTTATGGGGCAAAGTCAAGTGAGAACCGTCGTCTTTGAAGTGATCCGGCGAGAAGCGCTGTTAATGTAAATGATAATAGAATATAACTGAAATACAGATGCAACAGATGTGCAATGGTGGATAGGATGCGCCACCTAGGTAGCTTGTGTCTCACAAAGCATGTGTCGGGAGGGGTCTTGTTTATCTTATTGTCTCCTAACATTCAGGTAGACAAAATTATTCCTGGTAGGGACGGATACCTCACAACAATGCATACAAGTCCGCCGATTCCTGGAATCAAGCTGGTCACCGTGCGATTTGGCCCGAATTGTCGGTGGTTACCCGCACTCTAACCAACACAACACGAGGCTGCGCTTGTCCGCGGCGAGCGAACGCGGTACAAGAGCGCTGAGGTGGGGGGGGGGGGGGGGGCGCTGAGCAAACAGGCGCCTACGAGCAACGGCCCGAGACGAGAGGGTTATCAGGCCGGCCGCGGCGGCGGGCGCGGCAGAACGAGTGCTGTCGGCGGGCGGTCTAGGCGGCGGGTGGGGGACGGCGTGGTACACGGGCCGCCGTCGGCGTCGGACATGACCGTTGCTCTGTCAGCGGCGGAGTGACGTTGACGTGTGACAGGCCTGCGGCTAGAGCGCTGGCATGACGAAGGTTCTGTCGGCGGCGGCATGACAGCCGGGGTGGCTGGGTAGATGATAGGAGTGCTTGTGGTAACGGCGGGATGGTGGTATGTGACAGAGGGGGTGGGCCTGGCGATTGCCGTGGTAGGTGTGCCCGGTGCCGTTGGCGGCGCGGCGGCGCGGCAGCGGTTAAGACGTACGGGGTGGTCCGGGCGGCGGCCGGGATGGGTAGAACTGGAGTGTCAGCATGGCGACGGTATGTGGGAGGCGTGTCGGTCCGGGCGCTTGGGCTAGACATGATCGTGAACGGTCGGAAGCAGCGTGATAGCAGTACCTACATATATGGCGGACGGACACTCAGTGCGTTAGACATGACAGAAGTGTCAGCGGCGGCGTGGCAGTGGTTCGTGACAGGCGGATAGCCTGTGCGGCGGGGATGATAGATGATTGTCCGCAGCGGCGTGACAGTGCCAGGTTGTCGGCAGCGGCGTGACGGCATCGGCGTGGTAGCGGTATGTGACGGATAGGCAGCTCGTGCGATGAACCTGACAGGTCGGCCGGTGGTGGTGGCTTGACAGCAGCATGTGACAGACGCGGTGGCCGTGTAACGGGCATGACCGGCAGCAGCGTGACGGCTCGTGACGTAGCGGTGTAGGGCAACAAAGGCGCGATGCGCAGGCGCGCAGCCCCCTGTGCTGAAGATACATTGCCTAACGCAGCGCAAAGGTCCGGCGCCACCTGGGATCGAACCGGGACACCCTGGCGATAGTCCTAACGGCACACAAACGGATCCGTCACGCTAACCACCACACAACTATGGACGCAGCGTTCTGCGACAGATGAGCGCAAAACAACGAGCGCTGGTGAGGAGGGCGGCGCTAAGCAAACAGACTTACGGCTGGGGGCCACCGGCCCGATACTGATAGGGTGGCCAGGGACCGGTCGCGGCGGTGAGCGCGGCGAGACAAGTGCACCAGCTAAGGGGGGACGCCAGTAAACAAACGTGCGGCTGGCGCGGCGGTGGCCGGAGACAGCCCGGTCCCGGTCCAGAGAGGCGCCGCAGTGACTGGCAGGGTGACCAGGGGGATGGGTAGACGGCTCTGACGTCATGGCTGCGTCATGACGTCATGGTGGACGGTCCGCTGTGGCCAGTCCGACCGGCCACAGCGGTCGCTGCTGTGCGGTGACGGAAGGCTGACGTGGGGACGCAGTGGGCGGAGCTTGGAGGCTGTGTACGGTCCGACCGCACACAGGGCCCGTGAACAGCCCTCAGGCTTAGGTGGAAAATGGCAAACGGGAGAGACGGCCGGCGGTGATAGCGGTGGTGAAGAGCGCGGCGGGCATGACAGTTTGGTATGACATGAAAGATCAGCTGATCTCGGAAATGTCATAGCTAGTTAGTGTTGTTGTTATAGCGAGTTGTTTTGTCGTCAGTGTAAGAGAGGGACGCGAGTATATGAGCAGGGCGAGCGCGATAGAATGGGCACCGGTGGGAAAGGCAGCGCTAAGCAAACAGACGGGCGGCTAGGGGCCGCGGGCGGCGGCCCGGGATGGGAGGGTGGCCAGGCCGGGGTGCGCGCGGCGGGCGGGGCTGGCGGGAGGGAGGTGCCGCCGGGAGACAAAGGCACGGCCGGCGGCCTCAGGCGGTGGCAGGTGACAGTCCGGCTCAGAGAGACAGCGCGGCGGCCGGCGGGGTGGCCGAGCGGCGGTCGGCGCACGGTCTTGCCGAACACTAGTTTAGCGCGAATTTAATCAAAAACCTGACTTTCGATAAACTGCTACTTATACGTATTAATGGGTAGGAAAATGTCTGAAGTTATCGAATAGAACCATATTTTCAAGCCACTTTGCCATTTGAGGACTATATCCCTGCCGAAAGTAGACCCACGCTCCGGTTTCTAATATCGGGCTATGGTACTGAAAAATATGTTCAGTTTTCAATGTAAATTTAACTGAAGTTTTGAGATGATATATGAGAAAAACAGCATATTACTGGATAGCGCAATTCATAATGAAGCTGCTGCTGTTATCATGGTAACTTTCCGATGAATGGTTTTCGAGTTAATGGAGTTAGAACAGGAGCCCTGCATGTGTATCGTTCTCAAAATAGTAATTTATAAAGAAGATGAAAAATATCAAAATGGATAAAAATGGATATGACGAATAGGGCATGGCTGAACTCTCTGCACATTTCTGAACATGAGCGAGCAAGTTTTGGCTGCCAGTTTTTGCCTATTTGCCGTCAATTCAGTTTTGAAAACGTCTCGGCGGCCCGCCCGGCGTGACCTGACCTAAGCCGGGGCGGCGCGGCCGGACAGGCTCAGGCCCGCCGCACGGCTACCGCCCTGCGACTGTTACGTCACTTCATACAGCCACCAATGGCATTGGATGTATGTTTGCCGTGACCCACGTCAGGCTGTGATTGGTTGTTCTGAATTACTCGTCACTTCCGGCGAAGTGTCTTTATTCGTGTTTTGTACGGAATGGTTTACTTGCTTGCACTGACGTTTAAAGTAAGGCCGCATTTTCGTGCATTGCTAATCACAGCGAAGGGCATTTTTTGTATATTTATTCGAGAAAAAACGCATAATTACCGCAGCTACCGAAGATATTGCATTGTTTTTAAAGCATACCTTTGGTGAAAAGTTTGAGGTAACGGAAAAAACGCTGCAAAGGCTTCGCAGAAATATCTTACTGCCATTGTTCAGCCGCTGGAAGAACTCACATCGCACGAAAACGATATTTGAAAACAAGAACCGCCTATGGCTGGATTCTGATGAGTGTCTCGAAGAGCCCATCTGCGGCACCCCGGGAGGAACACGGGGGCGGCCAGCTCTGCCCTTTACCGCGAAAGGACGCAGGGCGAAGCAGAAGGCCACCTCTGCACTGCGTCGTTCAGCCAGCACGCCCGCGCTGGTTTTCGCTGCCGCCTCCGCTGTACGGCAGGAGGGTCGTCGCCGAGAGTCACACCTGCTTGAAGAAGCTGGCTCCCCTCGCCGTGGCAGCGCTCTCGTGGCGAGGGCGACCGCGACGCGCGAGCCTCATGACAGCTACACCACGGACGAGGCGCTGGCCCTGATGGTCGACCTGGACCTCACTACGGCGCAATACAACAGCATGCGGCTGTCTGCCGTTGAGCGCGGCTGCCAGCTGTATCCAGCTTTCAAGAAGGTAGCCAAAGCCAAGGCCATGTGCCTGCCACGATCGGAGGCCATCTCAGTTCTACCTGGCGAGGCCAAGGTGGAGCTACAGCCACTACTGGACCACACTGCAGCAAGACTGGTGCAGCTGCAGGGGCCGGTCCTGGAGAGTCTGGCGGACGCGGCACCGATCCATCTCACCCTCTACTGCAAGTGGGGAATGGATGGGTCGTCTGGTCACAGCCAGTACAAACAGGCCGGCGTCCGTCACGACGACCAGCTGTTCGCCACGACGCTCGTACCCCTGCGGCTGCAGACCCAGAGAGGTGTAGTGGTGTGGAACAACGCCACGCCCAGCTCCACCCGCTTCTGTCGGCCAGTCCGGCTGCAGCTGGCGAAAGAGACCAAGGACCTGACCGAGCGGGAGCTACAGAGGGTCCACTCCCAGATCAGCGACCTGCAGCCGTACAGGATGCCGGCAGCCGTCATCCACTACGAGTTGACAATGAGCATGGTACGTGCCCGTGACTGATATGTAAAATGGTTTTAATTTATGGCTCATTTTATGAACTTGTGCCGTCTTATGCCATTTTGGATTAGGCAGATAAACAAATCAATAAAGCAAAATGTTTCACCAAATTTAGGTGACATGACCTTTTTTACTATTCATAAACATGTTCCTCGCACAAGCACTAACCTGGCACTAACCTCATTAAATTTAGGTGACATTCATTTCCGATAATAACGAAATCTACCGACAGGTTGACGGCAAGACTGTGAACGTCGCCACGGGAACAGCCTCTTCCCAGCGATGCAGCATGTGCGGCCTGACATTGAAGAGATTTAACGACCTGGAAGCTGTCGCCGTCCAGCCCGTCACCAATCTCCAGTACGGGCTCAGCACGCTGCACTGCTGGCTGCGATCGTTTGACTGCCTCTTGCACCTCAGCTACCGGCTTCCCGCAGCTCAGGATACCACCGAGCACCGCCAGCAGCGTCGGAAAGAGGTGCAGGAGGCATTCAGGTCCCGAATGGGGCTCCGCGTCGACGAGCCGCGAGCGGGAGGCAGCGGCAACTCAAACGACGGAAACACCGCTCGCCGTGCCTTCCGCTCGCCGGCCGACTTTGCTGCGTGCACTGGCGTGGATGAGCAGCTGATCAGCAGGATGGGCACCATTCTCCAGGCTGTAAGCTGCTTCCATCGGCTTGACACCACCGCCCTCGCCAAGTACTGCGAAGAAACGGCTGAGCTGTACGTCAGGCTGTACGGCCAGCACCCGATGAGCACGACAGTGCACAAGCTTTTGACGCATTCGGCGGCTGTGGTGGACTCCTGCCACCTTCCGATCGGGACCATGTCCGAGGAGGCTGCAGAGGCAGCTAACAAGCGTCTGCGCCAGTACCGCTTGAGGCACACCCGAAAAGACAGTCGCGTCCACACCATGTCTGACCTGCTCGGGTACATGATGGTGGCCAGTGACCCTCTGGTCAGCAGCCTTGGTCTGCAGCGGCGCCGGCGCCTATACTCGAGCCGGCACGGCAGACTGCAGCCAGAGACCCTGGCCCTGCTCGCAGAGCCGCAGTCGGCAGAGCCAGAAGCTTCGGCTGAAGTCGAGGAGAGTGACCACGGCAGCAGCGACGGCAGTAGCGGCAGCAGCACGGAGTAGGACAGCAGGTCTGCAAACTGTGATGTGATGAGCTGTGAGTGTGACACACACCACTTGCGATACCTGGTAGTGAGCATGAGCTTTTGAAAGTGAATATTTTGTTCAAATACATATCTTTATTCTAACTACTTCTCACATTGGTAGAAAGGTATATAACCGATTTAATGTCATACAGCCCTTCCGAATTTCGAGTTTTTCTTAAATATGAATAGCGGGCTTACGATCGCTACGCATCACTAGAAGATACCGATACTTACACGAGGCCCAAGGAATTAAGAACAGTACCTTCTCTGGTAGCACAGTTTGACATTATTATTTTTCATTATACAAGCTCGGAATTTTGGCTCAACTTGTTGAAAAACGTATCAAATCATCTTATCAGTCACAAATAATCCGAAAATGACTTTGGATGTCAGCTGTATAGGCCAGGATATTTAATTCGCGCTAAACCGGCTCCCGGCCACACTGTGCGGCGGGGCGGCTGGGCGGCGGGCGGCCGGGCGGCCGGGCGGCGGCCGGCGGGGGGGGAGGGGTTGCCGCGGCGGCGGTCGGCCGGGCGGGGGGGGGGAGGGGTTACCGGGTGGCGGCCGGCGGGGCGGCCAGGCGGCGGGCGGGTCGTGGCAAACGGCAGGACAGCCAGCGGAAGCGTCAGGTGTGACGGTGGGCTGTCGGCGGCGGCATGACAGCGGTGACGACGAACGTAGCGGGCGTGACGGTTGGGTGTGTCAGCGGCGGCGTGACATGTTGGGTGACGGGCGAGGCAGGGGCGGCGGCGGCAAGACCGAGGTCTGGCGTCGGCGTGACGGTGTAAATGACAGACGAACAGTCCGTGTGACAGAAGAGGTAGTCAGCAGCGGCTTGACCACGTATGACAGACGGGACGGGCCGTGCAACGGGCGAGATAGTTGATTGTCAGCGGCGGCGTGACAGCGTATAAGACGGCACAGTCCAGGCGACTGACGATAGAAGCCATGCTAGCGGCGGCGTGACGGCCTAATAGCCGACGGGAAATCTCACCGGCGACGGGTGAGATGGGCGTTATAGTAGGGCAGGGCGTACTGGCCGTCCGAGAAACTATCATGACATAAGCATGGGATGTCAGCTGCGGCGTGACGGCGCGGGACGTGTCGGCGGTAAGACAAGCAAAGGAGCAGTAATCGCCACGTGATCGCCACGGCAGTAATCGACACACGAGTGGAACGTGGACCACTCTGAAATGTTCAACACAACAATACGAGGGGGCGGTAGGTACGCCGGCACGGAGCGCCCGCGGGCCTAAGATTGCTGGTAGTGGGGTCGCTCGTGAGTCGTGACAGCCTGGACACAATGGGGAGACGCCAGCAAGCAGGCGTGACTTACCGGATGCCCTTTCGCGTGTGGAGCGTCCCATCTCCGGGAGATGATCGCAGCGGCTGGAGCGCGCACGCACGAAAAACAAGAGCGGCCGCCGTCTGACGTGCCACTCACGCACTGGAGGCGCCCGGCGGCCGGCGCAGTGTCCTCGCCAGGCCGGGCGGGCCGTATTTGCTTACCCGACCGCTGGCGCTTATCTAGCCTCCTATTGGCGCCCGCACCCTCTGTGGCCGGCTCCCTCATATGCCGGGCACCTCCAGGAAGCGGGGGGCCGGTTGCACCTCTAACGCCAAGCGTTAATGTATTTTGCACGGAACTGACGTGAAAAGACCATTATTCTACGTAAGACTCCGCTCGCTTCGCTCGCTCCGTAACCAAAACTATCTACGCTCTACGATGCATAAAACACGTCTTTGGTCTTAACGGATTGATCCTACTTTACGTGCATCATGGCATCTATATGGATTACGATTAAGTATTGTCAACAGGTTCGGCCGCAACAGCAGGCATCTGAAGTTTCGGTGATTGAAACTGGTTATGTGGGTACACTGTATGCATCTGTGAGAAGGCTATGAAGGCTGGTCTGAGGTAATTTGGATGATGTTTACGCATCTCGCGCTCCGGTATCAATCCGATACGGTGATCTGGTGCGTAGATATGCCACCGCCAATAAACTTTTATACATCGACACCCATGAGCCAAGCTTTCTATACAGTTTGTGTGGCAGCGGCCCGACCAAACCTTAGGTATTTTTTACACCTTCAAATTTGGCAAAAGAGCGAGAGGAGCTTTGAACGGTGATCGTATAAAAGGCGTGCCTAAAAAGCGGAGGAAAAGGTTGTTTTCAAAAATTTCGCGCGCCTTCGGCGCAGCATTTCAAGAACACTTGACCTTTTGTGACCTGGAGTATAAAGAATACACACGATGCAAAATCAATGCAGCACGACCTATACGAGGTTACGCAAAAAAAACTGGTGGCATGGTAAAAACGCCTCCCAACCCCCACCCCCCCCCACCCCGCTGAGCGATTTTTTATCTCGCGACCGTATGGCGCCCTCCTTGGGTGAGGTGGCGCCCTCCAAACCCTTGGCCCCCCCCCCCCTCGCGATTTTCTAAATACGCCGCTGACGGGAAGTGCCCTAAATATTGATCGGACATTGAAAAACCTTAGTAATAAAAATTAGGCCGGGGTCTGAAACGTCCATTGCCGAAGTTTCGTTCTTGAGAGGCAACGCATTCAAAAGTTATTGCGAAAAAGTCGCGTCCCACGCGGTTTGACGTCCACAGTAGTTTGATGTCTGGCTATTGCACGCTCTAAGTAAAATTTTTAGTTTATGTTTTTAAGGCCGTTCATAGGTACTCGAGATTTTCCGGTTATATTGAAAAGGACTCGCATCCCGTTCGCTCGTAATCATTCATTCAAGTGTCTATCCCCCAAACCGACCCGTCACTATCATTGACCACGTTACCCTGTACGACTCCCGAGTCCCGACTCCAGACTGACAGTCATCACCAGACAATGATGAGCGGAAATCCCTTTGGAAAGGAGCTCGCCATTTTGATCGATATTGACGACAGGCGGATACAGAAGGGTGATTTGAGAGCTGAGACGCTGCGGGGTGGGTTGGGTTGGGGTGGGGTGGGATTTGGTTGGGGAATTACTCCCCCAAAATTATCTTATTTGCAGCAAAACTGCACTGTTTTGTATTTTCGCTTTTCTTTGCAATTTAAACCAGTTAAATCGCATGAAAGGTTTGATTTTTGTACAAGACAAAAGGCATCGTATTATCAATTTTCGGGCACTGGAAGAGAGCAATGTTCCCAATGGATCATCCAACTACACATCCAAGTACCTATTAAGGTCATGGCCGCATGTTGCTCTAGCAACACGCGGATGCCATATTTACTCAGTCTTACGTTAAACTAAGCCATCTGGCGCCAGTGCCGTGTGTTCTATCCGCAGTACCGCGCGTCCGATGACAGCTGCGGATGACCGGTGACGAGCCGGTCTGGGTCAGTGTCACGTGAACTTCACCGGTCGTGACCCATATCCGCGCCGACACCGCACGAACCGCCTCGGTCCGGCTACTCTAGTCTGGCTGCAGTCACGCTAGCCTAATATTAGGGCGTGAGTGTGTCTCATATCTCAGGTACGGTTCAGCAAATATGCTACCCGTTGCATTATCGAAGGTGGTGTCCTTAGGTTTTGCATGTCAAGCATTTTCATCTGCCCATGAAAACAAGGAGCAGCGGATGTATATCTTCTCACACTGAATCATGAATAAACAAGTGAGGCAATATGGCATGCTTGGAAGAAGATGACATGTCGTCATACTTATTATAGGCATGGTTTTTCAACGTTAGGCCGTGTTTTATAAAATTTATCTAAGCTAATTTACAGACTTGCAACCTCGGAACTATCTAAGGCTTACGACATTAACCCGCGCCCCGCGGGGGGCAGAATCTGCCCCCTCCCGTTTTTCGCCAATAACTTCTAAACGCGTTTCGCCAGCAACGTCAAACTTTCAGTACCTTATCATACATCAATTTGACACGTTCCCTGAAAATTTCAGAGAAATCCGTTGGAATTTTTTTTTGAGAAATTGACGTTTTAGTGACGTCATGCTCGCCATTTTCGCCTCAAAAACGGCAACATTTGAAACGCCCGCTAACATCTTCATTTTTAAAGGAATCAAGACGTAACAAAAAAGGTTATACGTGATTCTACTTTGTCTATCAAATGGCCATCTCGGTTTTTTAAACATTTGTGTTTTGGCCCAATTTTTTTTCTAAAAAAACTTTTTTTGACAAACTTTTTTTTTAAAAAAAAAGACTTTTTTGGGAAAATAATTATAAAATCCAACATTTTGAGTGTATCGGAAAAACCGGAATATATGTCAGAGAAGTGGTCTATGTGCACCTACATACCAATTTTTAGAAGAATCGGTTTAAAAATGTGGGAATTATTAAAAAATCTATGACGTCACGACACACAAAAATTTTGAAAAATGATTTTTTGGAAGTTCTAGACCTTGTATGGAAACAAGAATAGCATCATTCGATTCGCCGTGAAAAACTGCATCAGATAGACACCTTTTTTGGCCTTAACAACCAACTTCAAAATTTGACCTCACTTGACCTGACCTTGACCTGACCTCGACCTGAAATTCATCCAGAGGTGGTCCATATCACTTCTTGAGTGTGCCTATTGAATCCTATGAGTAAAATGACCCATAAAACATGTGTCGCACATGTCCTTTTCTATATTTTGTTTTTGGTGACCTGACCTGACCTGGCCTGACCTTGACCTTTGAATGACATTGTATGCAACAAATATTGTCTTGGTAGTCTAAGAACACGTTTTGGGCAATCAGTCTCAGTCCATTCTTCGGCAACTACGGTGCAAGGCCGATACTGTAGAAACTTGCATTTTGTACCCTTGACCTGACCTTGACCTGACCTCTGACCTACTTAAGCAAAAAAAATTGGTCTCTTAAGATCCGCCTTGTTGATAGCTTTCGATTGCCGTTTTCCCCGTCTTTCTACGACCATCGGTTCGGAAGTTAGACAGGGGGCAGACTGCCCCCCCCCCCCGCCCAGCAGGGCGCGTATGGCTGAATAGCCCAGCGGGGCGCGGGTTAAACGACATGCCTTTGCCTATTTTTATATACATAGGTCTAATAAAACGTTACTTGAATAAGTCGATAATGAGAAACCAGTTATGTTGGGTTCATGGGCGAGCCGAGTTTTTGGGTCAGCCAACCACAGATGACGCCGGAACAGTGAGACTTTTGATCAGTCGGCGGTCACGATTCTGTGGTGTTTCCGTCTTTGCTGTCTGTCAACTGTCCTGCCC